GTTTTAAACAACACTGTTATTTATAACATTTTTTCTCGTATATACTTTTTTACGAAGATCAATAATTACTTAATTAATTATTCACAGAAATGATCCCAGTTCTCCAAAGAGATCAGCATTAGGTTAAAAGGTTAGGTTAAAGGATGCGCGGTTGTGAAAAACAACCACTCCACTCGGAGACCTTTTGGTCCATTGTGTTAACTGTGTTGATATCAGCATTAACTCTATTTTATTACCTATTTTATTACATGCCGTTCTACGTTCTCTCTCTCACTCGAAGAATTGTCCAGACCAAATCGGTATAGGTAGGACCTGAAGCATCCATGTCCTGATAGAAAGTGGGTGAGATAAAAGTTTAAATAACCATGTCTCCTATTTAACCACGTTCCTACATTTGGTATCAGAGAATACATCCATACCGCAAATACCTTTTGCGGATGCTGCACACCTATTTTGCCACTCAATAATGCTCTGATTTCTGCCAACATCAGACAAGTTTTCATTTTCAAGCGTATCTTTTGACATGTATATAAATTCACACTCTTTTGCTAATATAAGATGTATCCTATCGATCGTCACATTTTAGCGTCTTTCAAATTCCTTTAAGTTTTTCGTAAAGGGTTTTTATAAAATAAATGCTTTTTTAAATATTTAAATATTTAAGGGAAAACCCAATTTTTTTTAAAAATGAACTTATCCGTCACTTAATTAATTTTTTTCAGGTTTTATGGGGCAAAACTGCTACTTGATACACTGAACTCCACAAAATAACTGGAAAGAAATCAAAATCCTGGGATTACAATTAAGCTCTGTAAATCATATTTGGATTTTGTAAAATCAAAAACCTGTTCCCTTTCTTTTTTTGTGATTTACAGCACTTGTTAACTGAATCAAGTATGTGCGATGTCAACTTGCTGAGAAAGCTGAAATAACTTGACAAATATTGGGCTCAATTCACATTTATATAAAAGAAATCTATCACAGAAATATGTTAACGAAAGCAGTTGTTAACACTCCGACTCCAGAATCAATTCCAGCTCGAATCTGGCAACAAAAGCTTGGAAAACTACTAAATTAAAAAAAATGATCAGCCCAACGAAAGCAATACAAAAACCAGTCAGTTTCCCGACAGATATGTCTACATGAAAAGCTTTTGGAAATTGTTAAACAAATTCATAAAATTTTTTGCTGAAGTCTTTGAAACCCTTTATAATTTTTAACAGGATTACCCGAAAACCAAAAATGAAGGAAAACCTTCTTTAAAAAAAGTTGTTAAGTAGAAGGCCTTGATAAATTAATACTTAGTCGAAAAGTCTATGAAATATTTAAAACAAGTAAACAAAGGCTATAGTCGTGCTATATAAAACAAGTCTATCAAAGGCTATAGTCGTGCGGGGCCGACCATGTGATACCCTACAATACTACAATATGTTAGAAACCCTCTTATGTCCAAATCCATTTTGGAAGATTTTGCTTTTGAAATTATGTCATACAGCTCTGTCCAGTTATTACCCTTTACATTTTGACCAGGGACATTTGACCAATATTTACGCACTCCGTCGTGTTGTTAGTTGTTGTGGTCCATTTTACAGCTACATATAATCCAATGGTCATGCAAAATATTAAAATTCTTCCCTGTTCTTAACTCTCGTCTCAGCCGTGTCGATTGGCTTCAATTGTGTGATCAGGAAATTTTTTCTGTTTTTGGTTCATTTGCGAACATCACCAAAAGCAATAGATCCCTCTGGGTCTCCAAACTTAGGCTCATATATATGATTTGCTTGTCTACGATATTTGGCCATATTCGTATTCGAAATCAGCATAAACCAGTAAGGAAAGCTCAAAAGTCGGGCGGGGCCGACTATATGATACCCTACACCACTATGCATATTTAGTAGAGCTCTCATAAAAAGGTTTATACAGGGCATTTCAGTGCTCTATGAGATATTTGGTACAAAATCAAAATCTATCTAATTCTATCGTGCATTTTACGAACTATAGCTATCTCTGAACCGGTTTTCTCCAAATTTGACGTATTAGCTTCTAGACTGAATTCGGTCTTATGGGTGATTTGGGCTGATATTGACCATTTGATGCACAATTAACACGAAATCGGATGAAGATATATATGGGAGGCATATCCAAATCGGAACAGATTTTAATAAAATTAAAATCAACTAATTTTGGGCTTTATCTGATATCTGGTACCAAATATCATTGAGGGACTTAAAGACCAAATCGGATGAAAGATATAGATGGGAGCTATAGCTATATCTGAACCGATTTTTACTATAATTGGTGTACTTGCTTCTAAGCTGGTTTCGGTCGGATTTGCCAAAATTGATGCTATAACGGCCATTTGGTGGTCAATCACCCGAAATCGGATGAAGATATATATGGGAGCTATATCCAAATCTGAACCGATTTCGATAAAATTTAAAACAGCTATTCCTGTGCTCCATGTAATACCTGGTACCAAATATCACGGTTGTGGAGTGAATATTACGAATGTAAGGGACTAAAACACTAAATCGGATGAAACATATATATGGTTGCTATATCTATATCTGAACCGATTTTCACTAAATTTGATAAACTTGCTTCTGGGCTGAATTTGGTCCGATGTACTAAAATTCAGTCCATTTGGACTTATATCGGCCATTTGGTGCACAATTAACCCGAAATCGGATGAAGATATATATGGGAGCTATATCCAAATCTGAACCGATTTCGATAAAATTACAAACAGCTATTTCTGGGCTGTATCTTATATCTGGTACCAAATATCATTCTTGTGGAGTGCATATTACGAATGTGAGAGGCTTAAACACCAAATCGGATAAATCATATATATGGGAGCTATAGCTGTTTCTAAACCGATTTTCTCCAAATTTGTTGTATTTACTTTAAGGCTAATCTCGGTCACATGTGCCAAAATTTGGGCCATTTGGGCTGATATTGGCCATTTGGTGGTCAATTAACCCGAAATCGGATGAAGATATACATGGGAACCGATTTCGATAAAATTTAAAACAGCTATTTCTGTGCTCCATCTAATACCTGGTACCAAATATCACGGTTGTGGAGTGAATAGTAGGAATGTGAGGGACTTAAAGATCAAATCGGATGAAAGATATATATGGGAGCTATAGCTATATCTGAACCGATTTTCTCCAAATTTGATATACTTGCTTCTAGGCCGAACTCGGTTGGGTGTGCCAAAATTCAGGTAATTTGGACTGATAGTGGACATTTGGTGCACATTTAACCCGAAATCGGATGAGGATATATATGGGAGCTATATCTAAATTTGATCCGATTCTCACCAATTTCAATAGGGTTCGTCCTTGGGCCAAAAAAATATTGTTTGGAAAATTTCATCTCAATCGGATAATAAATGCGACCTGCATTTTGTTCACAAGAATACATGGACAGACGGACTGACATCATAAATCGACTTAGAAAGTGATTCTATGAAGGTTCTCAAAAGTAACTATGGGTCTATCTCGTTTCCTTCTCCATGTTACAAACAAATGCACAAAGACATAATACCCTTACCACTATGTGGTGTAGGGTATAAAAATCCAGAACTTCGCATCTTGTGTATTTTGTATATCGCCTGTTAGTAATGTTCTACTCGCTGTCCTAAACTCTAACTTCATGCGAGATTTCGTGTCCTTTGGTTTCTATTTGTGACCTTTATAATGGCTGCAAAATGAGGAATATTTTTAGTTGTTGGTCCATTTCAACCCCAAAATATATTGCGGACATCTTTGAAAACAATAAGCCTAGCACTTCTGAGCCTTACCTTGCCCTTTTGAGAATTTTCGTGAGAATCGAACGATAATTGCAATCTATATATAACCACAACCTGTGTTGTAAGGTGAGAAAATATTACAAAATGTACACCTCATTAAATTTGAAAAAATCGCATGCGATAAAAAATATGAAAAAAATTAAAAAATGTCAAAATACCACAAAATGTATATTAACATCATTATTGGCATATTTATATGCGATTTTTCTAGATTTTATTCTTTTATGCCAGGACGGACAAAATTGACAAAATTTGTCAAAATCGATCCAGCCATTCTTGAGATATAAGCATTTTAGCTAACATCCCCTTCCCCCTTATACATACATTGTATATATTTCGTCATATATATCCTATATATTTACTATCGGCATCTACGTAACGGTCAGAATTGACCTGTTCGTCTATTTGTGATTTCGCCGGAACAAAGATAATCGCGGTTTAATGGAAAATTTGACTTTTATTTAACACAAATGTTATAGTCTATTTCACCCACTAAATATTAGCCTATGACCATCAAAATTGGAAAGCTTCTGCCCTTAAGCTCTAGCCCCATGCTAATTTCCGCGTCGATTGGTAAATAATTGCGACCTGTAGAGCAAATGAAAAATCAGGAAATTTTTCAGTTTTTGGTCCATTTCAACCCCTAAATATTATGCGATCATCTCCAAAAGCAATAGGGTTCTATTCTGACCATAAACCCACCTCCATTTTCAATTTCGTGAGGATCGGACCATAATTGCGACCTGTAGAGTGATTACAAACTAACATGGACAGACGGACGGACATACATAGCTAGATCGACTCAGCTCGGCGAGATAGGAAGATCCATATATACTTTCCTATGTGGGAAACCAATATTTCGAGGTGTTACATAATTTTTGGCCCAATCAAACTTACACATAGTGTTGTAGGGTATAAAAAGATTCTTACTTAAGAAGCATTTAAATAACCCCAAAAAACTTGTCAAGAATTCCTTGAAAAAAAGTGATTTTATTTTCAAGAATTCAGACAGCGCAAGAATTCGTTACGGAACCACACAGAAACTAACAAATCACTCAAAAACTAAGAAAATCGTATCAGACTCGCTCTACGAATAGGAAATATTGAAAATGATGACCTGCACAATTTATTCTGGAGAGATTTCTCTCCAAAGCACCACTTAAAAAGACAATATCAATTTAAATGATTTTTCATTTGCAAAATATATTTCCTTTTTCTTTTTTGAAAATTTATTGTTCAACATTGGGGTGGTAACCGTGTTCATCGGCGGTGTAGGTAACCTTAACGTGTTTGCCCTCCTTGGAGACATATTCGTATTCACCCTTGACGAGCCAGTTGTCCTTATCTTGCAAATGACCTTCCTGTTCGGCACGGATGTGGTTGGTCAATTCGACGCCATATTTGAAATCTTCAGGATTGACTTCGGAGTATTCCTTGACAACTTCAGCTTCTTCGTTGGCATAAGCGAAAGCCAAAAGACAGGCAAGGAGGACAATCTGAGAGATGAAAAATTAAGAAAGAATATCATGTTAGATGTGCCCGTCAAACTAGAATAATACATTAAATGTGAAGAGATTCTTACGGTGAATTTCATTTTGTATTGAATTGAGTTTAGCTACTGAGAAAGAACTACTGATTCACAATGGATAATGTTCTTTTATATGATTTTGTATTTCGGTTCAGTATAACATTTCGAATGATTGGCTATAACATCTGGTCGAACAAGAATAGTAGCAGTCGGGTAGTTGTAGTTGCAGCCAGTTTTCGAAATTTAGGCAAATTTATTCCCAATAAGCTGTCCGCAGAGATATTCCTTTTGCAGCTACTATAAATAATAATTAACTCAATTCTCCTCCACAGTAAAACTTGCCAAACAATGGGAATTTCACAAAGGCACCAGCCAATGTCTATCATCGAGTTAATTATTTGGCGCTAGAATGCATTCAATTTGATTATACATTTCTGGAAGCAGGATGAAATTTATGGTTATTTTATGTTAAAACGATTTAGGTGGATATGTTTGTTGTGAGATTATATAATAGATTGAAATAAATTTATAAGAAACCAGTAAGGAAAGCTCAAAAGTCGGGCGGGGCCGACTATATGATACCCTACACCACTATGCATATTTGGTAGAGCTCTCGTAAAAAGGTTTATACAGAGCATTTCAGAGCTCTATGAGATATTTGGTACAAAATCAAAATCTATCTAATTCTATCGTGCATTTTACGAACTATAGCTATATCTGAACCGATTTTCACCAAGTTTGATGTATTTGATTCTAGGCTGAATTCGGTCAGATTTGCCAAAACCCAGGACATTTGAGCTGATATTGGACATTTGGTGCGCAATCAACACGAAATTGGATGAAGATATATATAGGAGGTATATCCAAATCTGAACCGATATTTGTAAAACTGAAAAAGAAGATATTTCTTGGCTGCATCTGATACCAAATATTATTCTTGTATCGTACATTTTTCGAATTTGAGGGACTTAAAGTACAAATCGGATGAAAGGTATATATAGGAGCTATAGCTGTATCCGACCGATTTTCACTAAATTTGATGTACCAATATTAGCCATTTGCTGCACATTTAATCCGAAATCGGATGAAGATATATTTGGGAGCTATAGCTATATCTGAAACGACTTTTACTAAAATTGGTGTCCTTGCTTCTAGGCTGAATTTGGCCAGATATGCCAAAATTCATGCCATTTCGGTTGATTTTGGCGATTTGTTGCACAATTAACTCGAAATCGAATGAAGATACATATGGGTGCTATATCCAAATCAGAACAGATTTTGAAAAAATTAAAAGCGACTACTTTTGGGCTTTATCTGATATCTGGTACCAAATAACATTCCTGTGAAGAGTATGCTATGCTATATTATATACAAATCTGAACAGATTTTTATAAAATCAAAATCGACTATTTTTGGGCTTTATCTGATATCTGGTACCAAATATCATTCCTGTGTAGAGTATATTACGAATGTAAGGGACTTAAAGAGCAAATCGGATGAAACATATATATGGAGCTAGAGCTATATCTGAACCGATTTTCACTAAATTTGATATACTTGCTTCTAGGCTGAATTTGGTCCGATGTACTAAAATTCAGTCCATTTGGGCTTATATCGGCCATTTGGAGCACAATTAACCCGAAATCGGATGAAGATATATATGGGAGCTATATCCAAATCTGAACCGATTTTCTCCAAATTTGTTGTATTTACTTTAAGGCTAATCTCGGTCACATGTGCCAAAATTCGGGCCATTTGGGCTGATATTGGCCATTTGGTGGTCAATTAACCCGAAATCGGATGAAGATATACATGGGAGCTATATCCAAATCTGAACCGATTTCGATAAAATTTAAAACAGCTATTTCTGTGCTCCATCTAATACCTGGTTCCAAATATCACGGTTGTGGAGTGCATAGTAGGAATGTGAGGGACTTAAAGATCAAATCGGATGAAAGATATATATGGGAGCTATAGCTATATCTGAACCGATTTTCTCCAAATTTGATATACTTGCTTCTAGGCCGAACCCGGTTGGGTGTGCCAAAATTCAGGTAATTTGGACTGATAGTGGACATTTGGTGCTCATTTAACCCGAAATCGGATGAAGATATATATGGGAGCTATATCTAAATTTGATCCGATTCTCACCAATTTCAATAGGGTTCGTCCTTGGGCCAAAAAATTATTGTTTGGAAAATTTCATCTCAATCGGATAATAAATGCGACCTGCGTTTTGTTCACAAGAATACATGGACAGACGAACGGACGGACGGACGGACGGACGGACAGACGGACGGACATGCATAAATCGACTCAGAAAGTGATTCTATGAAGGTTCTCAAAAGTAACTATGGGTCTATCTCGTTTCCTTCTCCATGTTACAAACAAATGCACAAAGACATAATACCCTTACCACTATGTGGTGTAGGGTATAAAAATGGATCTTCCAATCGCAGTTATATCAGAAACATATTAACACTTTATGTACCCATCTTAACACATGGAAGGGTAAAACAATTCATCGGTGTGATGCCCAAGTGTTCCACCAGCAATTCGAATTTAGGGTTGCAGTATATTTCAATGCTGGTCCATTTGTACCTGCTGATATAAGCTATTTCGGCAGTCATGGCCATAAACTAATTATACCCTACACCACAAGGTGGTCAGGGTATTATGTCTTTGTGCATTTGTTTGTAACAGGCAGAAGGAAACGAGATAGACCCATAGTTCCTTTTGATGATCTGCATGGAATCACATTCTGAGTCGATTTATGCATGTCCGTCCGTCAGTCTGTCCGTCCGTCTGTCCGTCTGTCCATGTATTTTTGTAAACAAAGTACAGGTCGCATTTATTGACCGATCCAGATGAAATTTTGCGAAGATCTTTTGTTTGGCCCAAGGACGAACCCTATTGAAATTGGAGATAATCGGTCAAAACTTAGATATAGCTCCCATATATATCTTCGTCCGATTTGCCTTTTATTGTCCACCAAACGTGTAATATCAGCCCGAATTTTATGGAATTTTGCATATACATCCAAATTAGACCTAGAAATATGTATGCCGAATTTGATAGAAATCGGTTCAGATATAGCTATAGCTCCCATATATATTGTTCATCCGATTTGTTATTTTTGTCCACCGCCGCCGTAATATGCACTATGCAACAACAATATTTGGGGAAATATATCAAATACAGCTCAGAAATACATTTGCTAAATTTTATCGAGATCGGTTCAGATTTGGATATAGCTCCCATATATATCTTTATCTGATTTCAAATTAATTGTGCACCAAATGGGCAATACAATTCCGAATTTAAAAGATACAAATGCTTCGGCATATTTAGTACTTTGAAGTTTAAATTATAATTATAATCATAGCGTGTATGATTGAATTCTCCCATAAAAACTTTTAATTGTTATGGTGAGCTCTACTTAATTAGCAAAGTGGTGTAGGGTATCATAAAGTCGGCCCCGCCCGACTTTAAGACTTTCTTTACTGGTTTTTTAACAATTTCCACCACACATTCGGAATTTCATTGGAATCGGACATATATTGTATTTGGTGCACAAAATACATGAAATCAGCCGAAATATATATGGAAGCTACATCCAAATCTTAACCGATTTCAATATATTTTGTCAAATTTATTTTTGTACCAAATACTGCCACACATTTCTAATTTTATTACAATCGTACATACAGGGTGAGACAATAAACTGCAAAAAGTCAAACGTCATAATATTTAATTTTTTTTTTAATTTTATTGAATGAAAGCAAAACATTTTAGAAAGAGCATCAAATGTTAGAATACGTTTAGATTTGTTCAAACTGGTCACCTTTGGCACGAATTATGGCCTTCAAACGGCCAATGAAACCGTCACATGCTGCCCGAATGTTGCCCTGTGGTATTTTGGCCCATTCTCGACAAAGGGCTTGCTTGAGGCGATCGACACTGTTTTTTAGTTCCAAAATGGCTATTGTTGGTTGGAAATGAAGCGAGGAACCTCATTTTGTAACCATTCTTGGGTGACGGTGCTGAGTGCGATGGTGCTGAGTCCTGTTGAAATGTCCACGGTCTGCGACCAAAATGTGTGCGTGCCAAGGCTTTAATACACCCTCCAGAATATTTTTGCGATAATGTTCGGCATTTATTCTGATGCCACGGTCGATTAATACGAGCGGAGAGCAAACATCGGCTGTAATGGCGGCCCACACCATCACCATGGCCGGCGCTTGAGTTCCGGTGGCCAACCGAAGGTGCACATTTTCAGCTAACCTCTTGGGCAAGTAAATTTGTTTGTTTACAAACTACTGGACAACGAATGTTTTCTCATCGGAGAAAACCAAATTCGGCAGTTCGCCACTTTCGGCCAAGGCAAGCAACTCTTTAGCTCTTTGAGGGTATTTTCTTTCTGTTGCGGTGTAAGTTCTTGCACTTTTTGGAATATCAATGGCTCTACCCCGAGCTCATTTTTCAATATTTGCCGAATGGAATATTGCGTCTCTCGAGCCATTTTGAACCATTTCTGCTGATGTTGCGGAAGAAAACAAAAATTACAACAAGCGTAAAATTCTAAGACGAGCCCTATCCCTAGCCCTAGTCCCTAGAGCCCTATCCGTCCGTCTGTCCGTCTGTTGTAATCACGCTACAGTCTAAACGAATTAAGATAGGAAGCTAAAATTTAGCACATATCTCTCTTTTGTCTGCAGGCAGGTCAAGTTCGAAGATGGGCTATATCGGTCTACGATATCGTATAGGCCCCATATAATGGTACCCCCGATAGTAGGTATTTTGATGATGTTAGCCACATTTTTCAATGGAATTGTCTGAAAATCCACACAAGTAGTTCCTTGTAGGTACTTTATGCATCTATATAGGTCCACAATATCGTATAGCGCCCATATAACGGTACCCCCACGGTATTCGGTATTTTGATGACTTTAGCCACATTTTTCAATGGAATTGTCTGAAATTCCACAAAAGGATTCCCTTGTGAGTACTTTATCCCCTGAGAGAGTTGTCTATACAGGTCCACGATATCGTATATCCCCCATATAACGGTACCCCCCGCTATTCGGTATTTTGAGGATTTTAGCCCATTTTTTAATGGATTTGTCAGATATTCCACACAAGTAGTTCCTTGTGAGTACTTTATCCCCTGAGAGAGAATTGTCTATACAGGTCAGATATCGTATATCCCCCATA